ACGTATTCGTATTTTATGGTAAGGAGAGTCTTTAGTAAGAAATTTTTGGTTTTGACAATAACATTTGTTGATTTATTTTAAATATAGTTTAAATTTAATTTCGTTCAAGGCTATATAAAGTCAGAATTTTATGAGAGCCAAAGAAGACAATAGTTTGTTGTTCGACTTACAAAATCCATGCTATTCTGTCTGGAAAATGACGATTGGAAATTGAACAAATGACGAAAAATGAAAGAAAAATTAAGAACGGGAGAATAGCGGTATTTCTTCAATTAGCCACTAGATGACAATTTGTATTTGACATTTAGCGACATTTGTCAAATTATTAATATTAGATTTATTATGGACATTTGCTTTATTACAGCACTGTACAATTTGTAATAATAAAATGAAATATAAATTCACATACACACACACATACTTAAATATTTATCACAATGAAAAACAAACACTGAAAACATTTCGTGAAAGTTTTGAAAAAAAAAAAACAAAATATTCACAAACGTTATTTTAATTAAAAAAAATATTGTTGTTTTCATTTTACAGTTTGTTTTTCTAAATTATTAAAAAGTTGAAAAAACGGGGTAAAAAAAAAAAATCTACCTAATAAAATAAAAAAAAAGGCACTTAAAAGTTATTTTTCTAAAAATTACTTTCGCTCTAGTTGAGCATCGATTTATTTAGTTCCCGTTTTTTTTTAAATTTTTTTAACTGTTTATAAATTTTTTACTCGATTCTGCCCTCCATAAATAACTATACAAACATTCATAAATATTTCAAAAACTTCCAAAATGTTGAAATTTTTTTTTGACATTCACTTTTTTATAATCATGAAGTAAAAATGCTAAAAAAACTAAGTTTGTTTTTTTTTTTGTACTGCTTTTGAGGAGCAGTGAACTTTTTGTGTTCAGATCATTGTACAATCAATTTGGTTTTAAGCTTATATCGCTGTAAGTATTTAGAGGAATTCAAATTTATTGTGAATATGAAAATGTTTTTGGTTGAAAGCAAAATGTCCGCAATTTATTTTAGAGTTCATTTTTACGCGCTCTGTGTCTGACGTACAGACTTACATTTTTTTTTTTAAACAAATTTTAATTATTTTTTTCGGTTAAGTTCAGTGACCATACGCAGTTGACTGTTTTCAATTAATTTATACTTAGAGTCTTTAAATTTTAACTGTTATTTAATGGTTATGGCGAAATTTTTATAAAACTAGAGTATAATTAATCTTTTTGGTGAAATTTTTTAATTGTATAAAAGGATTGGTACCTCGCCAATTAGCGTGCTTCTTAAATATTTTTTTTTTTTGAAAATAGTTTTAAGTTTAATGGAATGCAATTAATTTCATCAGTGAGTAATTTATGCCTCTCACATTTCTCTTTATTCTTCTTTAAAATTATTAGTCGGGTTTTTAGCCTCAGCTCTTCAAGTCTGCACAAGTATAATGAAGATTTTTCGTTTTTATAATTACAGTTTGCCTTTCAAGTTCTTATCGATCTCATTTTCTGAAAACTGGATTATATTGCCATCATAGATATTGAGCAAGACGACTATTGGCATCAAATTGAGCAAGACGACTATTCGTAAAAGAGTTAAATGTTTTATGACAAACATCGAAATGATTCGACTATATAGACTTCTTGTATGCTAACATTCTGCATTAACTAAAACATTCTAATATTTATCTTTAATCTAATTTTAAGTGTTTCAGTTTCTGATTCTACTTAAAACTCTCTTTTCAATTGTCAAGAAGAAATTTCAAGAGTAAAATTTTTTTTGTTTTGTAGTAGAAGAGCAATTGAAGTTTGTCGAAATTGATCAATTGCAGTTAAACAGTTCTTAACTAAGTTGTATGATTTACATGAATCTTAAATCATTTTTAAAATTATTTTTTTTTATTTTTATTTCAATCTACTTGGAAATAACCCTTACAGATTTTGGAATAAAAAATACAAAATCAGCTTAAAATTAAGTAAAGAAAAAATTAAACAAATAAAACAAAATTCATTATATGTATATAGTATATAATATAATAAAGCTTAAGTACTATTGAAAAATTTGGTGAGATCTCTTCTAACTTTTTCTCTATTAGAATCAAAATCAATTTCAGAGGAACAAATGTTAAATAAACATTGAGAAGTAACTATAGGCTCGCAAAAATTATAATTAGTTCTATACGAATCAAGATATAGAAAACGACGATTTGTGACAGTATGTGCTGGGGCGTAAATATTATATAAATTCAAAATTTCTGAGCAATTTATTCTCGCAGATAAACCATCATAAGAAAACATTACAGAAGCAACATTATGAATATCAATAAGTTTACATTTGGCAATGTATCCAGTGGTATTCAACTCCCAATTAAATTTACGCAAGCAAAACCGAACCATATTCTTCTGGACAGATTCAATACGCTTTATATGATTTTTATACGATGGCATCCAAATAAGAGCAGCATATTCGAGGTGAGGACGGACAAATAAGCTTTTAAATGTATAGGGATCAGAAAAATGTGCAGACTGCCTCTTGATAAAGCCCAGCATAGAATACCGCCTTTGAAATTACATGGTCGATATGAGGATTAAAAGTAAGCCTGTTATCAAGAATTATCCCCAAATCCTTTATTTCATCGACACTATCTAATATAAAATTATTCACCCTATAGCTAAAATTAATGAAATTATTTGTTCATTATTCGTTTACATTTTTCTACATTTAACATGATACCATTCGAAGAACACCAGTTATAAAATTTATGAATATTTAACTGGAGCCGATGACAATCCTCCACTGATCTAATAATAGAAAACAATTTTATGTCATCAGCGAATGATAAAATAGAACAGTCAATATGACAAGCACAATCATTTGTGAATAAAAGAAAGAGCAAAGGACCCAGATGCGTTCCTTGAGGAAAGCCAGAGGTAGCTAGAAATGAATAAGATTCGCAATTGGAGATTTTAACAGAAAATTTGCGCTCTAATAAATAAGAACGTATCCACTTCAAATCTACTAAAATGATCTACTTTATCAAAAGCCTTAGATATATCAGTGAAAATAGCGTCCACCTGGAAAACACGTTCCACTTATAATCATATATTAAAGCCTTTCATAATATCGGTCTATAGATAAGTGCTGCCATATTATCCAAAATCCAATCTCCTTGAAATTTATCGGTACAACAAGCAAAATCTACATCTTTTATATTATTTCCGAAGTCTTTTATACACACTTAGATATGCTCTGAGCAAAATTGTTGAACACCATTTGAGTATTTGATATGAGTTTTTATGCTGAATGCATAAATGAAAATTCCTCGGTAGCCTAAGGACAACTTTTTATCTGACTAAAAATTTAATATGAATATTAACGTATAAAATTTATCCAATATAAAAAACTATTTAATACCTTAGTCATCATAATTTTATAAGTGGGGTGATTTACCGGAAAAATCTAGACGTATCAACTCTTTTGACAATAAAATTCTAAAGGATTATTGTTATTGTAATAATTGTAGTTTATGTTAATAGAATTTAGATTTTTCTATTACAAGAACATGCGTAGGGTGTTCGGATACTGCTTTTTTATATTTTAAAATGTATTTGAAGATTAATAAAAGTTTTATAATATAAATACATATTTAATATTCAGAGGTAGGCTGTTGATTTTTCTTTTGAAAATCAATAATATTTAATTCAAAATATTTTATTTTCGATGTAAAGAATTAAAGGTCCTTGAATAAAATTTTTTTAAAAAAAATTTAATTTAAATAAAATATTTATAAAATAAATAAAAATATGCGTAGGTTTCTTATAAAAAGAAAATTCTTCCAACTCGTCACTTTAGTCTTACAGGCCATATTCTAGAGGTATGACACTCTTATACAACATATTTTCACATTCTAAGAAGTAGGATGATTGTTAAGAATTGTAAGGCTTAATATTTTTTATTAGCCACGATTTAAAAGCATATTCAATTTGCAATGAATATCTTGAGTTTGGCGAAAACTGAAAGTGTTAAATTTCAAAACGTACAAGAAAAATATTGGCATTAAATATTTAAACTAGAGACAAAACTATGCAATAAAATAAATTTCATATTCCCTTTTACACATAAATTTTATATTTAAGGATATTTTAAAATTTCAAAGGATATTTTTTGCAAATAAATATTTTTAAAGTATAAAAACCAAGTCACAAATACGATGGCAACGAATAGATGATAACAATTTCATTTGATATTTTATGCTCTGTAAAATAAAGGTAAGTATAATAAGCTTAAAATTCATTAATAAATTTTGATGCTTTTACAAACAAAAAAAAATATTTAAATCGGATTTACCTTAATGGTCAAAAGCTTGAAATTTATAACAACCCAATTAAGGTGAGCATTCATTCGAAGGATGAAAAATTTCACTGGCACATACTATTATTATTAAAGAAATAAATTTCATGTAGGAAACAAGCCTAAAATTATTTTTTGCAGATGAAATTAGTTTTGCGTCTTGCAAAATGAATTTAAAAAATGCTATCGCAGGTTCATTCACTTTATGGCCGAGCATTGAAGAAGGATGATGAAGTGAGCGCAAAGTGCCGTGTGTCTAAAATAATTGCGAGTTATTTTATTGTTAAAAATTTGCGAATGTGCACGGTTTGCAACCATAATGAATCATGGGAAAAACTAAAAGGCAAACATGAAAAAAAGGCCATTCGCAATGCAATTGTTCTCTAACATAGTATAGAAGCACTAACAATGTTCGTTCGCTAGCATAACACCGAATATTCAACATCTGAAAATTCAAGATTTGAAAATTCAAGAGAAAACAACAATTTTTAGACATTTCCATAATAATTGTGGCCATACATAAAACTAAAAGTTGATAACCCTAAAGGTATGCAATTTTAAGTATAATATTAAAATAAATAATAAAGTTTAGATAAATTATAGTTAATTAATTATATATATATATTTATATTTCAATAAAAAAAACATACTGAGTCTTGATAATTTAAATGCATCAGCTGTGTTTATAACATCAACATAAGCCTGTAATTCAAAACGTCTTGATGTTACATTTAAATTATGATTAAGCATTGCATATTTAAATGCCGATTGTACTTCATCGGTTCCTTGTTCAAATATTGCACCTAATGGAATTTTTTCAGTTGGTGGCATTAATTGGGCCAATATAATAGCATTAGGTATTATAGCATATTGTATATAAGTTAATATTGTAATCCAATATGAAAATTTTATTCCAAATGACATTTTGTAAATATTTTTTTTTAATTAATTTCTTTTATTTTACTAAATTTTTTTTTTAATAATTTTTTTTTTTTAAATAAAATTTAAAAACTATAAAATTATATTTTTCTATTAACTATATTATTTTATTATTTTTTATAAATATTTTTGATATTATAAGATTAATATTAAAAAAATGGCAATGAGGAATAATCATTTTGTTGTGTTGTGTGTGTTTTTTTAAATTATTATTAATTATTTCTTAATTTAGTAATTATTTTTTTAATGTAATTTACAAGTAATATTTTTTTTTGATATTTTTTAATATTATGTACATTTAAATTTGTTTGATTAAATTAATTTGAAAACATTGCATATTATGCATTTATGTATGAAATTTTTATATTTAGGTCACATAATTTTTTATTTATTTATTTTTGAATAATTATTTAATTAATTTATTTACTTTTAATTTATTTGTATACAAGTATAAATGTTGAAATTTTTCTAAAATATTATATTTTTTTTTTCGCGAATTCACACTCTTCTTTATTTTTCATTTATTATTATTATTTTTGACACACAATTTAATTGCTTCATTTTTTTTTTTGAAATAATAAATTAAAATTATTAAATTTACAATAATAATGAAAAATAAATATTAAAAAAAAATTTTATATTTTTATTATTTTCTTTTTTTTTATATTTTGGTTAATTGGGCAGAATTCTTTTGGCATTTATTAAAATTTTATTATACATTTTCTTTTTTTTTTGTATTTATTTTTCTATATATTGTGCGTATATAGAAATATTGGAATTTTATTTTAATATTAAATTTTTAATCACATTATAATTACATTTATTATTGTTATACTTATGAATAAATTTATACTTCTGGTAGAATATGAAAAAAAAACAGAGATTTCATTTTAATTTTTTTTTTTTGTTTTGTAAATGAAAAACTTTGTGCAAACGATTTTTTTAACAAAATTAAATTAAACAACAAAAACAAGCATCAAAAAAAAAGGAATTTGATATTATTCTCTTTTGCTTATTACCATTATTATTGTTATATTTCATTTGTATTAAAATTTGTGTGTTGCGTGTGTGTGTATAGTTAAGAATTTAAGTATTATTTTTAATATGTAAAAAAAAAAAAATAGCTACGAAATTTTCAATTGTGTAAATATTCTTTTTGAAAATAATAAATGTTTGTATGTAATGTAATAATGTAATATAAGAGAAGAGAAAAAATTAAAATGAAATGAAAATGAGGGGCAAAAAAAAAAGAGAAAAAAAGAAGGGAACAAAAAAAAAAGATAATCTTGCAATTTAAAAAATTGTTCACTTAATGGTAATTTTTATTTTTATTTTTTTGGGTCGTTTTTTTTTTTTTTGTTATACTATGATTGTTGTATTGTCCTTATTGTTATTATTATTATGGTTGTTTTTTTCTATGTAATATACAAAATATTTCTTTCTTTTTTTTTTTGCGTAATAGCAATTTAACCTAATGTAAAATATATTTTTATTTTTATTATATTCTCATATATTTTTTAATATTAATATGGTGTGTAAGTATGTCAAACATAAGGGTATGTGAATATATTTTTGTATTATTTAAAATATTTTAAGTAAATTTTATTGTTTAAGTATAGTATATGTACAAATATGAATAGTTAGACTGGACTAGCAGTTTAAGACATAGGGTCTATATAATAAATTCTTGTATATTTGCATACTATAAATATAATACTCTTATACGTGCATACAAACTTATTGTACGCTTATAATGTTCAAATTTTTTTAAAATTCACAGATGAGTTCAAATTAAAATTACGTCAAAATATCACAAATTGTAGTGATTAACAATATGAAATGTATACGAGGTGTATACATAGAGAGAGAGAGAGAGACGAAGAAATGAGAAGTTAAGGAGTTATTAAAATGAAAGAGGTGAAATTTTGAAAAAAATAAAAAAGGAATAGAAGAGGAAATTAAAATAAACTTTTCAATTCAACTTTTGTTTTTTTTTTCCTCCTTCTTATTATTTTTATTTTATTCTCATTCTCTCCCCTAATAAATACTGTTATATTTTTTTTATTTCATTATTATTGTTTTATTAACATTTTTCACTTGTTCTAATTTTATTTTATTTTATATCTTTTATTGTTGTTATTATTGTTATTGTTGTGACATAACCATAATTTCATATTACATTCCTTTTTTTTTTGTTACTCAAAAAAAAAAACTCTTTTTTTCTCATTTTTTTTTTTTGCACCAACAAAACAAAAATATAACAAAAAAAAGCAAAACAATGAAAAGGAAAACTTTATTTTGTAATGTGCAAAAAAAGAAACATAGCAAAACAAAAACAGAAAAAAATTTATTCACATTTAATAAAATAGCATTAAAATATCAATATACATATATATATATATACATATGTATGTAAGTATGTGTACACACATAAATAATATAATGTGCGTTTATAACATTAATATAAATTACATGTGTATACAAAAAAAAAATAATAAAAAAGACAAACAAAAAACAAAACAAAAAAAAAAACAGACTTAAAAAATAAAGACCCGCTAAATCATATCCTTACAATCGTACATAATTATTTATATACATATAAATGAATTCATGTAATATGTTTGTATAATGTATGTATATTTATTATCTGTACCTTTTTTTATTATATTTAAATTCATTTAACATACATCATCATCATATACACACAAAAAATAAGAAAAAAAAAAAGAAAATTAAAAAAGTAAAAAAAAGAAGAATTAAACAAAAAAAAAAACAACAAAAATATTACAAAACAAAAATGAAAAAAAAAAAATAAAGTAAGAAACAAAAAAAAAAAAACAAAAATAATACAAGGATTACAGTGGAAAACAAGAAAAGTAAAACAAAAATTCGGAAAAACTTTTATTTAAAAAACGGATTGTCTTTTAATGTTAAATGTAAATTATAAATGTATATATATATATACAAACGCATGTATATGTATATTATTTAAATATATGTATTACACTCTCCATATATATATATATATATTATTATAATTTTGGTATACTATCTTTGTATAATAATATTTTTTTTTATTATTATTATAAATATTTTAATATATAAAAATATTTAATATAAGAAAGAAATTTCTGTATCCCTTAATATTAAAATCATCAGAAGGAAATCGCATAATATAAACTGTATTAGTATGTATGTATGTATATATAAGTATTAATGTATAACATTTATAATATGAAAGATTACTGTGAAATATAAGGAAAATGGAAAAGAAAAGAAAATAATAAATTTGTTATATTTATTTTATACATTTCCACTCTGATTTTCATATTATTATATTTTTAGTATTCAATTTATGAACCTAATTTCTATATGTATTTGTATATAAATATATATTTACTTTTTTTACACAATTATATATATATATATATTATATTACGTTGTATGTTTGGTATACATATAAATTTCATTTACTTTTCATATATATTAAAAAAAAATTTTTTTCTTTTATATTTTTTTTTTTGTGTAAATTTATGTGAAATTTTTCCGAATAAATTTTGTATAAAAAACCACTTTTTTGTTATACATTTTTTTTTATTTATTTATTTATTATTTTGAATAAATGAAAGAAAATAATAAAAATGAAAACAAAAGTAATTTATTTTTTAAAAATTGAATAATTTTTTTTTTACTCTTATTCTTTTCTTTTTTAATATTTTACAAATATTCTACAAATTTTTCCTCCTTTAAATTTTTTTTATTTATTTTCTTCGCTTTTAATTAGGTTGATTATTTATTTTGTACATATTTTTTTCCTTTTTATTCCTTCTTTTTAAATTTTTTCTCTTCTTTTATTATTTATAGGAAAAATATATAAAAAAAATACTTTTTTTATTTTTGTTTTTCCTTTACTTATTGAGAAAAAAAAATCACATCTTTACAACATTAAAAATATACCGTTAACATTATTTTCAAAAAAACACGACCATTACATCCAACGACCGACGATGTACTAAAATTACCATATTATTTTTACTTTGTATCTCATAATCTCCCGAAAAAAAAACCAAAACAAAAATGGAACAGAAAAAAATTGAGACGAAAAATAAAAAAATTAACTGTAATGTGTGTGAATTGAGAAAAAAATATAATATAAAAATGTATTACCAAATTTGAAAAAAAAACAAAAAGAAAACAAACAAAATTATGATAATAATAAAAATTAAATATAAGTAAGAAAAAAGCTAAAAAAAAATAATAAGAAAATAACAAAAAAAGGAGAAGAAAATAATGTGCAAAATGAAGAAGAATTTTTGCTAGAGAAAAATTAAATTGTGTATAAGAAAGTTTTCAATTTTTGTTTTTTCATTTCATGTTTTCATTTGAGACGTAAAAAAGTTTCCTTTTAAGAATAAAATTAATTTTAAATGTACTGCTCATATTTAATAATATTATAAACAATAAGAAAAGAGCGCGCGAGAGAAACGGAGAAAATTTTTATTTTCTTGTAATTTTAAAATTGTCTCTTCAAAATATTATTTATGAGAAAATTTCGAAAGAAATTTATGAAAACCGAAATTTTCTCAAATATTTTACGAATTTTTATTACCAAAATTTCTCGCATTAAACATTTAAAGAATATGCGAAAATGAAAAAAAAAAAACAAATGACACATGAAACTTCAAAGTTAACCAAAAACAAAATTGTATACAATAAAGGCGATGTTCTCTTGAAGATTTGAACATGAGAAAAAGCAAAACGAAAACGAAAGAATTAAAAATAAGAAAAACAAAATAAAAAACTTATTATACACACACGAGAGATCATAAACTAGGGTAGAACAAGGAATAAATTATTTTTTTTTTTGTTTTTTTTTTTTCTACTCAAAATATAGTGGAGTATGGATACATTGTTTGTACTTCGTTGTAAAAATATGTGAGTAAAATGTAAGAAAAAATCAAATTACAAGGATACACAAAATTTTTTTTTCTTTCTTTACTTTTCTATTTACTTGCTCTTTTTTTTTTGTTTTAGTACAATAATAGTAATTTTACATGATATTATGAGAGGAAAAATAAAAGAAGAGAGCGCAAGTCTTTATTTTGTATATTTCGAAAGAAATATTAAAGAAACATTGATGAGATTATGGTGAGAAAATGAGTTTAAAATGAAAATATTCTCTTAAAACAAATTCATTTTTTAAACAGAGTTTAAGTTTTAAAGCTTTGTAGAGTACCTACTGTTACTTGTAATTAACTGTTATAACAATGAT